TTATAATTATTATTATTATTTCTTTCTGTATAGTTAATTATGCATAATTTTAAACAATACTATTTTGCATGCCATTACTATGGCAAAACACATGATACTAAGTTTTAATTACCATCTTTTATACTGTGTTTTTTAAGCAAATAAATTATTATTATTATTATTATTATTATTACATTTTGGTGACAGAAACACTTCATATATACATTGTACAGAGCCCAGGTTACACCTCTAGTTCCTTAGTACGGTTTACTATGAAAATCGATGTATGGTGCTGCCAGATGATTTTGACAAAAACCACCTAGGATCCTTTGGGGGATGATTTTGAACCAATGCTCATCACTGTTTTGTTCAAATTAACGAAAAAAAAAATTCCCACGTTTTTTTACTTTTCTCCGAAATTACCCCAAAATCGGGGAAAATTTTTAGACCAGGTAAAATTTTCCACCGAGAGTTTCCATTGCTCTATAGAAGTCAACTCGCGTCAGGGATTAATTGTACCCCAAAATTGAATTTTAAAAAGTCCCTAAAATTGTCAACATAAATTAAGTACCCTAACTCGGCCGCCATCTTAGATTTTTACTTTTTAATACTTTTGACATATTCACCCTAGTGACAGAAACATTTCGTTCATACATTGTATAGAGCCTCAGCGACTCCTTCTAGTTCTATTCTCTAAGAAAACTGATGTAAGGTGTTGCCAGATAATTCTGACAAAAAACACCTAAACTCAATAGGGGGATTGTTTTTGACAGATTTTCATCATTCTTTTGTTTGAAATGTCCAAAAAAAATTTTCCCACTTTTTAGGACCTATCTCAAAAATTACCCTAAAATCGGGGAAAATTTTTATACCAGGTAATACTTTGTGTTGAGACACATCATCTCTCCATAGTAGTCGACTGGCTGTGGGGTTGCCAAGTGTCCTAAAACTACATTTAAAAATATCCCAATTTTTCTCCGAAAAGCAAAACTCCCCTATCTCTGCCGCCATCTTGGATTTCTAAAATTTCATAATTTTCCCTAGAGGCCGAGTCCTTCGGCTATCCGACGCCGTACAGTGCGTTGAGCTAGCATACTCGTAGGTACCCTATCAATTTCAGTTTTTGAAGCTAGACCTCAATTTCAAAATTTGTCCGATGATGTATGGGTGTTGCCAGCAAATTCTGAAGAAATCCACCTAAAACCCTTCAGGGGACGATTTGTAGTAGACCAAAACGAGTTCTTCATTTAAAATGTCAAAAAAAAAAAATTTCCCACTTTATGGGACTTTTTTCCAAAATTAACCCAAAATCGGGGAAAAATTTTAGACCTGGCAAATCTTCTTACTCAGACTTACCCATGTCAGTAGGTGGCGTTTAGCTGCAGGGTTGCCATGTGCAGCAAAAACTCGATTGAAAATATCCCAAATTTTTTCCAAAAACTAAATCTCCCATAGCTTGGTCGCCATCTTGGATTTTTGAAATTTCATAATTTTCCCTAGAGGCCGGGTCTTTCAGCCTCCCAATGCCCTATAATAGGGATCGGTAGCTCCCCCGCAAGTACCCTAGGAATTTCAGTTTTTGGTGAGACACCCCAATTTCTATTTTGGTCAAACCATGTATGGGTGTTGCCAGCAAATTCCAACAAAACCCACCTAAAACCCTGTAGGGGATGTTTCTCGATAGGCCTTGATGCCTCTTTTGTCAAAAATGCCGAAAAAATTTTTTCCCACTTTTTGGGACATTTCTCCCAAATTACCCTAAATTCGGAAATTCTTTTTATCGCTGGCAATACTTCTTACCGAGACCCATCATCGCCCCATAGAAGCCGACTCGCTGCGGGGTTGCCCTGTACCTAAAAAATGATTTTGAAAATAATCCGGATTTTTAGGACCAAATTCACACGCCCCCAACTCGTCGGCCATCTTGGATTTTCGAAATTTCATAATTTTCCCTAGAGGTCGGGTCCTTCGAGTTTCCTATGCCCTACAACCGGTGTCGCCAGCACCCCCGCAACTACCCTGGGAATTTCGGTTTTTGAAACCCTAGAAAATTTTCAACCAGTTTTTGGCAATTTTTTCGCCGCCATCTTGGATTTTAATTTTTTGTTTTTACGCCATATTCTGGGTCCCGCCGAGACGTGCCAAATCACTCTTTGAACGGAATCGATCCGAGCGAAACTGTAAAAGTTAGCCGCCATCTTTGTCCGCCATCTTGGATTTTCCCAAATTTCGGAATTTTCTCGTGGTCACCCTAGCCAAAGGAACATTTCCCCCATACATCGTCTCGACCCCCGGACGCTCCTTCTGGGAGAACAACTATGTCAATCAGTGAGTGAGTCACCGTAATGCAGCTTTATATATTATAGATATAATATTACCATGTTATTTATCAGAAGCTGTATCTTTATTGGAAGCATTGCGGGATATCGTTTTTGTTTTATTTTTCTCGTATATATATTTACAAAGAGACTTTTATTACGATTGGTTTTTATGTCTTGCTCTTTTGATACATCTACCTTTATCTCATTTAGTTCTATTGCCTATCGTTTATGGGCTACGTTTTTATCGTATTTTTTTTCTATATAACTGAACCCTGTAATTAGAATTTCTTTTTATTAGAAGAAATGAAAGGAGACATTTTTTTATAAAGACTATTCTGTTACAAAAGTTCTATTAAGTCTTGACAGAAATTTAATTATTACTAGCACTTAATCTGTACTGTGTGAGATCGAACCCGCAACAGTCGGATGTAAGGCGGTGTACTAAACCGATAGACTACCAAGGCCGTCAAGATGTGCCTTATCATATTGAATAATGATAGAGGGTATGAAAATATAGTACCCTACTTTTTAAGAATACTATCATAAAAGTTATCACGAAAAAAATATTATGTAATATCCTAAAATAAATAAAAAAATAGATATTAATACTTAACACACACTCCATGTCGAATACACTTTCCATCAGACATCGAAATGTGCGAGAATCGAACCCGCAACCGTCGGAAGTAAGGTGTGTTAAACTACTAGACTATAGAGGCCGTCACAGGTATGTAGTCATTAATAATGATGATGTTCTTAGTTAATTTTGGTTTATTATTCATTGCATTAATGTATAACACTGTATTTGTGGCAAACAAAATGACGATCCATCTGATGGTAACTGTCATATATATGCTCTACCTGGCTACCTATGTGGTATAAAAATATATACATACATGAACATCACTACACTACAGAAAGAAACTATTCGAAATACTAAAGTAACCTCTTTTTATTTTCATTTTTGTTATTATAATGTTTGTACTGTAATATTCTTATTTCATTTTCTTTGTAGTTGTATTGTTTTGTTTTTATTTTAGTCCATTAGACTCACTAAAATTAAGTAAAAAATTTTCGGCACTCAATAGCTATTGTAAATATTACTTTTATTCGTATATTTATAAGTTTTTATAACGACTGTTTGTTCCCAAAATAAAGAGAAATAAAAAATCACTACTTAAAACAATGGAACACATATAGATGATAAAAATATAGGCCAAAAAGACGCACGAAGACAAAAGAAGCGGCAGATAATACTATAAAATTAAAAAAAACCTCACTACGTCTACACATAAGTATATGTTATATATCATACGAAGTTACTGTATATACCAGTTTGGCTATAAAAGAGTACATTAAAGTATAAAAAGCAAAAAGCAATTCAACCAACACGCCTTACTTCTGTTAGCTGGACAGTAGAGTTTTTCTCAACAAAAACCCTATTACGTCATCGGAAGTGGTAGATAGAAATCTTGAAACGTTCGTTGAAAAATTCACAGAATCGACTCGCCTAGCGAATACCCAGCGCCGTGTACTAATGTAACACTCCAACATCAATTTCCCTGTTTACTTTACTGTCCATTGCTCTTTTAGATGTATTAACATTGGCTGTTTCTTTTCACCCGGAATTGGATGTTGTGTTTGCTGAAACGTTCGCGTTGGGACATCGTTTGATATTCAGTGGAAGGCTTTTTATTATCAAAGGTGTTTCCAACGATGTAAGGAGTTTTCAAAGTCTGTTAACTTTTGTTGAATCATCACTCTTTGGTTAGTTTGACCGCATTTTGGAATATCAGTGCACTTAAGAATAATTAATGTAAATGCCTAGTCTTGTCATCTGGAGACGCATGAGTTGGTTTCTAGGTCAGTATTAGGGTTGCCAACATTAAATTGTATTGTCTTGTACGAAGATCCCAAAAAACTCGTGTATCTTGCTAAGGCTCTTCAACCTTTTCCATTATTGTATTTTGATTATGATTGCAAGGAGAAGAGGGTGTATTAGTAATGGGGATTTTGTACGAAATGAATATGTATTGATAGAGTGACGACATATCCCGAAGAATTGCAAAACTGAAGTGGCAACGGGCAGGGCACATAGCTCGTAGGACAAATGGCCGTTGGGGCAGTAAAGTCCTCGAGTTGTGACCGCGGACCGGAAGACGCAGCGTGGGTAGGCCACCAGCAAGGTGGACCGACGATCTGGTCAAGATTGCTGGAAGGCATTGAATGCGAGCAGCGCAGGAATCGTGTTCTTTTTTTACATATACATATATATATATCCTTCTATGCTAATCATACACCATCAATTTTATTGTTTTTTCTTTACCTTCACAGGAGCTTCCTCCCGCGTACAATTAGATTGTGTAATGAACTACCTGCCAAGGTTTCTCTCGAGACGGGAACCTTACAGCATGGAGTTTTTCAAGAAGGTTTTCATAAGGGTCGGAAACGCGCACGTGATACCCCCGGTGTTTCAGACGTCCATAGGCTACGGTAACCATTTACCATCAGATGGACCGTATGCCCGTTTGCCACCAACGTGGTATAAAACAAAAACTAAAGATTGTCTTGGAAGAGATCGCTTGCTTGCTATAAGACCGCCGTTTGTACATCTATATATCTTAACTATATAATTCTTGTGTCAAATACTTGGTATAATAAATAGTTTATAAATATATAAATAATACATTAAAAACTTACATGTATAGTTAACAGAATTCTCCTCATCTGTTTTCGTTGTTTGAAGATGAAACACAAATATCTGTAACAAAAAAATATTTAAATAGGTGGGGAAAAATGTTGTGGCACTTGATACGACACAACGAACTAATTAATAACATTATCGAAGGAAAAATAAATGGAAAGAGAGGAAGGGGGAGATCAAGACACAGCTATATCAAGCAAGTTAAAGAAAAACTTGGAGTCATGTCGTATCAACAGCTAAAAAGCCTGATAGGAGATCGTGGAAGTCGTGTGGTCGGTGGCAGGAGCTCCACCGACAAGAGCACAGCTCTTAAATTATGAATGAAGTACAATTGTATAAGGAAACTAAACATTATAAAGAAATAACCATCCATTATGTGTAAAACAAAAGTATCTCTTGTTGTCAGAATTGTATTTTTTTTCTAAATTTGTATTTGAATTTATAGTTCTTTTATAGTACATTATTGGTATACATTCGTTCTGTTATGTCAATAGTTTTTTCCAATATATATATTTACCATTTAAAATAATTCAGATATAATTGTTTTGAATCTAAAAGTTATATATTTGTCACGACTAAACGGCTGTTATTAAAGAAATTTTGTCTGAACATATATTGTATCAGGAGGACAGACGTAGGCCTTTATTTAAGATGAAGTAGATGAATTGACACACCACCGAACGATTGGAAACTGTATTGAAGAAGTTGTTGGTTTTTTTCTCGGACTCTACTCTAAGCTGTTAGTCGCAGCTGGTTTTTACAGGCTCACCGGACGATGTATGAGTGCAGTTGGCACTCCAAACCCACGGATATGGAGGCTAACCCGCCTGACGAATACTACTTTAGTCTAAGGACACCGTTTCAAACCTCGGCTTAGGCCGTCGTAATTTCGATCCCCGTTTGAATTCAACGGGGTATCGATCGGAGGGGCATTTCTATTAACTAGCTATTAAAAGTACTGTCTGTTATTGATTCTCTATATTTAGTCTTTAGTTTATAAAGTGCGTAATAAGAAAGATAAAATTAAAATAGTCCTAAGCTAAGCAGGACTTGTGTTGTGGGTACTAGCCACCTGATATAAATAAATAGATTATATTTTCTTAAATACATATATATACATAGTCATGATCATACTCATGAATGCAAATGTTTGCACCGTGCGAGCAATCAAACCTGCGACCATGAAGTAAAGCATGTTGAACCTCTAGACCACCTAGGTAATTCAAATTCAAAATATCTTTATTCATGTAGATCTATTACAGACTCTTATGATATGTCAAATCTACCGTCAGTTCGGAATGATTTCGAGATGAGAACAACTGACAAAAAACTCAGCTCGTATTCTTTTCAAATAAATGTTGTACATGTTTAAAATAATTCGTTAATTACTTCGGACACACAGACAGATATACTTTCGCATTTATGTATAATATTAATATATACAGTTGTCCTACTTAATCCCAAGACGTTGTTACAAGTTTATTTTGAATTAATTAATACAAAGTGAACAGCTGTCAACAGATTAACACCGAACTAACAAATTTAACACTATCAAACTGGCAGAAACAAATAAAGCAGCCACTATTTGGTTTGTTTCATTCAATATTATCGGTATAAAGTAAACGTGAAATGCTCTCATACATTTCAATTTAAAAATGTAAAGTTACAACAAAATTATTTAGAATTGCAACACGCAATTTGTTCACTGGTGAGGTAATGGTGTGATTAGTTTTAGGGATCAATGAGACTCGCATGTACTTGGATTGTACAAAAGTCTCTAAATTTAAAAAAAAAAAAACAAGTTTCTTGTTCTTTTTATAATGAGCGGAGAACCGTTCATTGAATCAATTCAAAAATAAGTAATAACAATTCAAAAGTGCTTAATTGTAAATTTATTTGAGTAAAGAATTTTCTATTCCACGATATGTAGTTAATTTGTATGGATGTATATAGAACGGTGGATCGTATGGTAACGGTATACGATTCCGTGGCAACTGTAGATAGGATAACTATGAAAATATCTCAGGACAATTCACACAGCGCCATCTAGTCCCAAGCTAAGCTGAGGTTGTGTTATGGATGCTATATATTTGATTGAATTATTTGTTACTAGCTGTGCCTGTTTCTGTGTGTATGTGAAATTTGTAGCCTATATACTATTCTAATGTATAAGCTATACTATTGGAAAGCCATCAAAATCGGTTCAGTAGTGTTTGCGTGAAACAGTAACAAACATCCATCCATACTCACACACTTTCGCGTTTATAATATTAATAAGATTCAAATTCAAATTCAAAAATCATTTATTCATGTAGGACATTTTAGCCGCTTATGAACGTCAAGTTTTTACATTATAATTTTTTTCCTACCGTCCAATTCGGTATATAGATGCAATTGAGAAGAACTGGCAAGAAACTTTTTTTTAAAAGCCAGTTTATTTACTTACTTTATTAATAAGATTTTGCGGAAGTCCACTTTACTACTTAATTGATTTATATTCAGGCTATTACTGAGTCTATACCTATACATGTATATGGGAATAGACTCAATAACAAGTAGCCGTGGGCAGGTTTCCATACTGAATGCTTGTGGTCTTTAATCGTGGTAGAATTAAAAAAATAATATACATCCATTACGTAACCCTATTGTACCCTCAAACACGTGGTCCAAAACTTGGACTTTTATGATTTCATGCACGTCCGTTGTAAGGTATATCATTAAATTTTCATTATAACTCGATTTCGTGGGTCGGACAAAAAAAAACGGTTTCAGTGATTTACGTCGTTAGTACGTATTTAGTGTTTTTTTATATGTAATTGGAATAGAAAACATGTTGATGGTAACATGATGGTAACCGATACCGTCGCCTATATACTTGAATAGCACAATGGTCATTATATAGCCATGTGACACACATGATACCACTTGTTAATTTGTTTTTTGGTAAGGAAGAGTGTTTTTAAATGAAACCGTCAATGTCAGGTTGATCTCGACGCGGTTCCCCCTGGAAACCATCGTGATAAATTCCTGGTGAATTTGTCACGATGGGCTAACTGACCTGACCTCATGCTCATCTTATCTTCCTCCACTGGTGCCCCGCCAGCGTAAACCGTTAGCCCAGGCGGGAACACCATCCTATTATCATCCACAAAAAAATACACAGACAATACCCAGATCAATACACACAATTATACTCATGAAACATATGTCTGTAATCGTACCTGCGACCATCGAAAGTAAAGCAGTGTACTTAACTACTAAACTATAGAGGCCGTCAAATTCCAACAAATAATATCTTCCTCCTCTTCGAAATTCTATCTAAACATCAAATGTATATGTATTTGGTGTTTACATAGAATTTCGAACACGTGGGCCGAATTACGGGTGCCTAATCTCGTATAGGTTTCCTGAAAGAATAACCCTCGTAAAATTGTTAAACACACCCATGCTGGAATTACGGGGCCCTGAATGGGATTTGTGGCGACTGTATTATCGTTTATTTAAGAGGATTATGTTTTTTGTCCCCTTGTAATATTTGCACGTTTATACCCACTGGATGTGCTTTCAAACTCGTACGCGTTATTCGGAATAGCAATATATTAACTTCACGTTATTGTTTTAAAAGCATTTATAATAAAACAAACATAATATTAGGCAAAACTTATAATACAATACATAAAAGATTCAAATTACAAAATAATGCAGAATATACTTAATTTAATATCCATAAAACCGTTTCGGATATTATCAAATTAAAATCAAAATATCTTTATTTATCTACATACAGTCAGTTCGGAGTGCTTTCGAGCTGAGAAGTATTGAAAAGAAACTCAGCCCTTATTCTTTTGAAATGAGCTTGTACATGTTCATAAAAATACAGATTCGGACAAACAAGTTTATTTACGGACAACGTAATAATTTGTTTTTCATACTGCTTTCTTGATATATGATAGCGTAGCGGCTTTTGTATTGATTGCCGCATGCATCCTCATGTAAAGTGTGAATACTGTAACTACCATATAGTAATTTTAAGTAGCTGTGACGTGGTCGAGTGGATTGAGTAGTCATACTCATTAAAATGTCCAGACATGTGGCGGCGTGGTGGGCCGAGTCTTTGGGCTCCCTAAAATATGGTCGAGCGCTGTGATGGCTGGCTCATCCGTCCTACTCGTGAACGAGTGCTGCTTGTAGGGACTAGTCTGCTCTTATCACTACGACTGGTTTAATCTTATTGTCTATTTATATTTGACCCAAAAAAATTAGTGCTGGTTGGTAGTTTGTATTTACAAGTTTCGACTTGTAAATGTAACCTTACAAAGATTATTTAAAAGAGCAACACACAAGTTTCTTGCTCTTTCTTCTTGTGATGAGACAGCTTTCCGAACGAGCGGTAAATAAAAATGAAATTGTTATGACTATTCAAAAATGCTTAAATTAAGTTTATTTGATTAAATTATTTTCTTTTCTATTTCTATTCTATTCAAGTTTGGGATAATAGAATAACCATCAGAAAATACTAATACAATTTTGCAAAAGGAAAATAGTCTCATCAGTGCCCGTAACCCGAATAGACCAGTTTCCCCAAGCATTAAATTCATTTACAAAAAATTGTCTGTCTGTCCGCTTAGCCTCTTAATCACTAAAACAGCTGCACCGATTTTGACTGGATTTTCACTCGCAGTTAGCTAATGTTATAAGGAGTAGGTTAGGTTACTTTAACATTTTTTATTTTAATAAAAATTAAGCTATATCCGCTAACAATAACAGCTAGTATTTACAATAATTTTAAAGACTGTATTCTACCTCGGGGACGTATAATGCGTGTATTTTTAATTTTTTTTTAATTACCAAACGCCGTTTGTTTACTATTTTATTATAATGTTTGAACATGCTCAGTTTTATCTCGTATAATTACACTAAATTAATGCGAATCCACGCAACGCTTGATTGAAAATTGATATCGGAGTATAAATTCGGATGTTTAACTTCATAAAGCTGTCAAAATAATGTATGTTTGCAACTTACTGGGCTTGTTTCACGCGTTCTTATCATTCAAT